TTAGCACTGACCCCCCACTTGGTAAGGCAACTCCCATCTTTTCATGTACTGTGTATCTATACCTGCCTACTGTATTTTCCACTCCATGCATCTGATGAAGTGGGTTCTAGCCCATGAAAGCTTATGCCCAAATAAATTTGTTAGTCTCTAAGGTGCCATAAGGACTCCTCGTTGTTTTAGTAAGGAAAGAGGTTTCAGTTTCAGGCTATGACTTAGTTAGATGTAGGGGATGAGGAGGGGAGAAGGAATGATTTTAATTAATTGTTTTATCATGCCTCTCACCCCAAAGTGTTTACACGTTTTATATGCAGATGCCTCTGGAGAAGTAGGCAGCAGCTGATCTGTGTACAACACACCGCATTACGGTGGGGAGAAGGGATACCAGGGCAAAAGTCTATTTGTACAAAAAGTACCATGGGATTGTTGTTAATCCCATAACATGTCTAGCATGATACCATCCCTTGGGCCTGGGCATGCCTTGTCTCTCTTCTTAAGAATTTTTGCAGGTGCTTTTATAATTTCCCATAGATTGAAATTGATAAGGATCCATGTCCCCTTAGTGGTCATGCAGTTTTGGTGGATGCCACTAGGAGAGTACTGTGTGCAGGAGCAGCAGAAATACCCAGCACAATTCATATGCAATGAAACCTCTGCTGTGGGCACATCTGATAAGTGTAATGTACAATAGGAGTGGAAATAAACAGAAGTGAAGGGAAAAGGCATGTGGGCTAAGTCACACATCAAGGGAAGTGGCAGAAGTTGGACTGATGGTCTAATGCAGTGCTTCTCAAAGTCGGGCCGCCGCTTGTTCGGGGAAAGCCCCCGGCGATCTGTGCCCGTTTGTTTACCTGCCGCGTCCGCAAGTTCGGCTGATCGCAGCTCCCACTGGCCGCGGTTTGCTGCTCCAGGCCAATGGGGACTGCGGGAAGCAGCGGCCAGCACATCCCTCGCTCGGCCCGCGCCGCTTTCCGCAGCCCCCATTGGCCTGGAGTGGCGAACCGCGGCCAGTGGGAGCTGTGATGGGCTGAACCTGCGGACGTGGCAGGTAAACAAACCGGCCCAGACTGCCGGGGGCTTTCCGTGAACAAGCGGCGGACCAGCTTTGAGAAGCACTGGTCTAATGGCAACAGACTTGAGATCAGGACCAAGCTGTATCTCACTTCTTAAGATAGTGACTGTGAAAGCACTGTGCAGGCATTGTCATGGGAAGGGTGTGCTTTGTGTTGCTGTGTAGCAGGAACTGCATCAATAAACTAGAGATGCCCAGAATGAACTTGAAAATTTTGGTTTCACTGATTTGTCCAGGGCCACGCAATAACACGCCAGTTACAGAGCTTAGATTAGAATTTGGGGGCATCTGGCCCTTACTCCCATGTCCAAGACGCTCTTTTCATCCATCTTCTACTAATCTCCCCACCGTGCCTTGGCATTGTCTCCTGGAGAGAGGTGAGGATGTCTCCACATGAGTGGTGCTGAGGAGATGGGGTCCGTGGGGTGAGGTGAGGAGAGTTTGGGATCTGCTTGCCTGGCTTGGCTTGATCTTCTCAGCCCTCTTAAGAACATCCTCCTCCAACAGCTATAGTAGGGGAGAGACTGGGAGTGATGGGGGATACCTAGATGTGAGTTGAGATGTCTCTCTTCATGCTTTCCCAGCAATTGGTTAAATTTGCCCTTTCACCTGGCATTATCCATCAGCATATTTCCATTGCTCTTACCTAGAGAAGCCCTGTAGTTCAATGGATTAGGTATCAGACCGGGAGTCTAATCCCAGCTGTGCTACTGTCTCACTGCGTTAGTGGAGAAAGGAGAGCACAGATAGCTGGGGGCGGGGAGTTGGTGTTTGATACCTTTGTGATCCCTTTTTAAACTCCCTGTGTTGCATTCTTTGCAGTTCCCCAACAGATAAGAAGAGTAACTCCTTCCCCATAATGCCCCCGAAAAGCCACTACTCTCTCAGGAAAAGAAACTCCCTGCGGGGAAGACCTGCACCACTGAAGAGAACCCTGCCCAAGGAGCTGGTGCAGATCACCAAGCACCGGCTATGCCGACTGCCAGCCTCTAGAATGCATATCCCAGCCAAAGACGGTAAGAACTTGGACGTGTGATGATAGAGCTGGAATATTGCATGAGGGGGGACAGTTTTAGGAGTAGGTTTTTGGAAGTAGGAAATGAGCTGCTCATTCCTCTGAAGTAAACCTGCTGATCACTGTTGTAGGGTCAGTGTTGAGAAGAAAAGACAGCATGGGATGGGGCCTTCACTCCATCTCAGGGCTTTCTCACCAGGTCCCACTTCTCTAGAGCCTTGCATTCCCCCATCTTGCCCCCACGTGCACTGTGAAACCTCCCCTCAGGACCACCTCTAATTGACAACCACTCTAAAGCTTCCCCTTGCTTCTAGGATGGGTTTGCTGTACCCTCAGTTAAAGACCAGCTTTTACTGGGCAAATGATTGTTTTCAATCGTGTTGTGGGTGATGGCGTAAAGTAACTTTCACTGTGTATAGATCTGTGCGCAGCACTGTCATCTTCTGCACGTGTAGGATCAATTCCCTGTCTCTGAACGTATATGAACTGTTGATGGGCCCACATTCCCCATGGTTAAGAAACCTTATCGGTGTGAAAAGAACCTGAATGGTGACTGGTCAATGTCTGTTCATTTCGGTTGTGTCCTTCTTTCTCCTCCACCACCGTCACCTTCTCACTCTCTAGATCAGGAAAGGGCAAGGACTGTTCCATGGAAGATCTTGCAATCTAAACAGACACTCAGAACACAGAGAACTCGCTGAATGGTCAGGAGAGTTCAAAAATCATTGTTTAAAGGTTAAACCAATCGTGTCTTTGAGTGGGCTAGAGTTTATAGGCTTCACAGAGAAAGTATGTTTGAAGAAGGACTCAAAGGAGGAGGTGGCAGAAGCGTTGTTTGTAAGGTACAGCTGTAAGATTGTATAATCGCTATTTTTCCACTAGGGAAAAAACGGTGTGTCTCTCATGAGATGCTCATCTCAGCAAGGAAAAATCTACCTGATAACTGCATCATGGTTAGGAACTGTGAGCATAACAGCTGCATCTCTGCAGGGGTAAAGCATGTATGTGTGAGTTGGTTGAAATTAATAGGTTCATGTAAACAGTCTCAAAGGGTTGTTAAAAGAATTAATGTTTAAGAAAGAAATGTTTGTGGAATGGAGGACTGCCCCCTAGGTAGAGCAGCATTTAGCTGTAAAGCACCTCTTACCCTAGATCGAGCTGCTAGAGGATTTGACCTCATGCACATGGACGTTGTGCAGATCTCTGTTTTGCAAGTTGGTGTGTCTCTGGTTTGATCACCTGCTGGGTATGGTGAGATTTGGCCGTTAGTGGGGCAGGCTCTCTGTGTCATTTCTGGCCCATTAACTTGTGTTTATATGATTCTCTTGTGTGGTCTGGGTTGACAGGAAGCTGTCTCCATAACCCTCCTTGCAGAGCAGGAGCTTTCAAATAACGCAGCCCATTGCTGCATTGGCAACTTGCCGGGAGCCTGAGGGCTGCACCTAATTGGCATGAACATGGAACAGATGAGATCTAGTGGTTCCAGTACAGGACTGGGAGTTGGGAGGCCCGGTTCTGCTACTGACTTGCTGTGGGGCCTTGGGCAAATCGTTTAACATTTCTTTCAATTTTCTCCTCTGTAAAATCGGTTTAATGTCTACCACAGGGGTGGGGAGGGCGAGTATTGTTTATAAAGCACTTGAGAGCCTCACATGGAAACTACTATAGAGGGGCAAGCCTTGAAGACTCTTGCTTTCAACAAGTGTGGGTGGGAGGAGATGGGGTGGTGGGGAGTGTGTGCACTTAGCCAGTTGGGGTACTAACAGTGTGGCTATTGCTCTACTGTTACTGATGCCGCTGCTTATTTGAGTTGGAAGGGACTGTTCTATGCTCTGGCTACAGGAATCGGCCTCAAAATGACTTGGGCCTGAATTTTCTGGAAAATGCATGTGCAGTTGCCTAATTTGCATGTGGAATTACTAGGCTTACATGCACAATTGCAGTCACTGCACGTGCAGAAGAGCAGCTGCATGTCTAACTTGTCATTTGTATGCACAGATGCTGCTGTTAGACAAACAAAAGACAGTAAACAGGGCAACACTTCAGGTGAGAGAGAGGATCGGGGTTGTTGGTGAGGAGCAGGGAAGAGTGATTTTCTGCGGAAAGTGGGTGTTTTATATATTTTTTTTATGGAGGGATTTGGAGATGTGGGGAGAGGTTGCTTTGCACCCGTGGTCAGGAAGAGTGTGCCAGGTATAGTGGGGAGAGGTTCCAGAGGTAGTGAGCCAACATGATAAAAGGCACAACGCAGTGTGTGGGAGAGGAAGGTGAAGAGAGATGAGATGTGCATTTAGGTGTATGATTGCATGTGTTGACCATCTGAGCATTTGTGATTGTCAGACCCCTGGAAACCAAACCAGTCACCGTGCAGTGGAGTTGAGGCTCAGTTTCTCTCAATTCCCTCTCTAAATTCTATTGCACCTGGAGAGGCTTTTAGGTTGCTGGAGACAGGGCACCACTGAAAGGCCTACATGAAAGGCTTGGGTGGAAAAGATGGTCATGGTACATGGACGCTGCAAATGGAACCAAAGGTCTCTCTCCGCTCACATTGCACTTAGGAAATCAACTTACCAAAGACAGTTCAGCCACAAGGCCTCTTCAGAGATCATCTCCCGAGGGACAAGGGAAGAGAGATGAGGAGAGTGCCCAGGGCTTTACTGCATGTCAGTGAGAGTGTTTCTGTGAGGGCACAAGTATTTGGTGAAGGCTAAGGGGAGACTAAGGCTATGTCTACGCTACAACCCGTGTTGGCAAAACTTGTGTCACTCAGGGGTGTGAATATTCCACCCCTCTGAGCGACATAGGTTACACTGACATACAAGCTTGTGTGTACAGTGCTATGTTGGCAGGAGAGCTTTTCCCGCTGACATAGCTTCTGCCGCTCACAGAGGTGGGGTTTTTTATGCCGATGGGGGAGCTCTCTCCTGCCGGTATAGGGCGGCTTCACCAGATGTGCTGCAGTGGCACAGCCGCATCGGTACAGCTGCATCGCTGCAGTGCTGTACATATTGCTATCCCCTCAAGCTGTCGAGCGCACAAAGCAGCAAGGATCTAGGAAAAAATGAATGCTAAAGCTGGGAGCTGGAAAGAGCAATGTAATGACAGCTGCTTAGTTCAAGTAGTGGGGTCTGCATGGAAGCCTCAGACGGGGTGCTGTACCTGCTCTAGGGGTATATACAGCATTAAGTCTCCTGAGTTGTTGATCTGGCACCTTTCACCAGCATGATGTTCTCGGTGTCACAAATTTAAAAATTCTTTACAATTCACCTCTTTTAAAAAGAACATTTTGATGCATCTGCTGAGGTGCTGGAACAAGTTGCTCTTCTATAGAAGCTTTGAAGGGTGCAGCAAGTTCGGTTTGTAGTAATCCTTTGCACTTTAAGTGCACTTTCTCCCCGGATCTCAAAGCACTTAGGAGGCGGGTACATGAGAAAACTGAGCCACCGAGAAGGGACGTGGGTTCATCGAGCTGAGTCAGTGGCAGAACTGGGACTAGAACCTCGCTCTCCTGACTCCTAGTTCTTTTGTTCTAACTGCCGGACATGAAGTTTTATTGAGCCCTTCGTTTCTGGAAACCTGGCTTCAAATTCCGCAGTGGCTGAGCTGCAAATGAAAATGAGCGTGGGGATCTCTCAGGACCTAGTAGTTACCTGTCCATGTTGCAGAAGTACCACAAGAGGTGTCCGTATTGGCATTTTCTGCTCTGGAGAGGTCCATGACTCCACTCTCGAAGCTTGCACGTCACCTACAAAGACGGTACCTGGTTCTAGCTGGTGGTATTGGTCCCCCCATGTAAATCTTACGTTCTTTGGCTTGTCAGATCATTCATGATGGCCCTGTTATTTCTGACTGTCTTTCTCCCAACTCTCCCCCGGGATTGTCCCTGCATGTAGCACTTGCCCTTCAGATAGACCAGCACTGTGGCATTATCTTCTCATTAGCATGGCAAAATGGGGCTCTTTGTGTGTATCCGTTTTGCTCATGTCTGCCAGCTATGGAGCCCTTCTTTGTAGCACATCTCCCTGTTTTTAGCATCACTTTTCAGGGCAGAACTTCACTTCATGAGTAGATGCTCATGATAGGCTGTTTAGCATAAATTATACCCGTACAAATGTACCACAATTTATTCCAAAAGCTGTCAGCCAAAGCCCATATAAGGATTTCGTAGTTAGAAGTGAAACCTTGTGTAAATTCAGAATATAAAGACCAAATGGACTAAACCCTCCCAGTGCCCTAATGTCTCCCGGGGACCTGTACAGCAACCACCAAAGAGCCATATATTCTGGAAATACATGCATATTAAATTCCCAGGGTCCTGAACATAGAAGTGTCATCAAGAAACAATTCTTCATCCTAAACCACACAGGCTTTTGTGTATGTGCACAGTGGAGGCACATGTGGTGGTGACTCTGATCCATCTAGAGCGAGGAAAAATATGGGGGCTGTTCAGAAAATTAACCTATAAGGGTCCTGTGGGGCTTGAGCTTTCCACATTGTAGCAGTTCAGAGAACTCCCTGGATTGGATCCACTCTCTGAAAACTGAGACTACCTCTTGGCTTGGGGGAAGGAGGAATGAAGGTTTGTTCTATTATCCTGGCTTAACCAGGAGATCTTCAATTATCTAAACATCAAACAAGAGTCCTACAAAAAGTGGAAACTTGGTCAAATTATAAAGGATGAATATAAACAAATAACACAAGTATGTGGGACAAAATGAGATCAAACTAGCTAGAAAGATAAAGGGTAACAAGAAAACATTCTACAAATACATTAGAAGCAAGAGGAAGACCAAGGAGAGGGCAGGCCCATTACTCCATGGGGGGGTGAGGGGGAAGGAATAACCAACAGAAAATGTGGAAATGGCAGAGGTGCTTAATGACTTCTTTGTTTTGGTTTTCACCAAGAAGGTTGGTAGTGATTGAATGTCTAACATCGTGAATGCCAGTGAAAATGAGGTAGGATCAGAGGCTAAAATAGGAATAGAGCAAGTTAAAAATTAC